TGCAACTACAGAGATAGGTTAATATTATATTTGATTATTTGCTTGATTGTTAGTTATTCTGTTGTTATAGTTTGTTTTATAGTTAGTTTTCTAATCATTATCCAGATAGGACCTAGGAAAAATATATATATAGTGAATTCAGTCAGTTGTTCGCCATTGTTATTGAAGTTTGTTTGATTTATATTATAAACGTGATTCTTAGGAAGGAATCCTAAGCGGACCAAATAGATAATCATTTGTTCTTTGTAAAAACGTTACAATACAAACACATATTTGTAATAAAAATTGAAAATAATCACCTGAGTCAGGTTTTATTGGATATATTGGACAAGTTTAACCGCGTACCTTTTAATTTTTCATTCAAAATGAAAATTAAAGTGACAATTTTTTTTCTAAAAAAAATGGCTACACAAAGGAAGAAATTTTGAACATCATAGAGGATATACAATTTCCTAATATTTTGGACATTTATTAGCTGTATCATTTGCAACAAAAATAGGCCCGGAAATATAAAGCAATCCAGGCATCCATGTTCTGTTTGAACCCTCTGTCCTTAAGTGCCGAAATTTGTTTATATTAATAGCGCTCGAGCCGCAATGTCTCGAGTTCCTAAGTGAATGAAAAATTTCCCGAAACAAAGTCAGGCAAAAACTGCTTACCAATCGTTGGATACGTTAGTCATTCTCTTTTCATGCAAATGATCTCTCGTTTTTGTAGTTTTATAGCTTTAGAACCTTTGCATTACAATTGAACGACGAATCAAATTTATCTTTTTATTCAAATAGAGATACAAGAAAAAAAAGGCTGGAAAAATGATTAATTAACGAAGTAAATGACGAGCAATTCAAGAACGGCACGTTCCTATTAAAACACGGAATAATAGAAAGACAGACATCTCATCTTTAATTTTAAAATTGATGTTTTCTTTTTAATGCTGACTGATAAATATTCATTGTTCGTGGAATGTCGTCAAAGTTATGAATATATTCAACAAAATTCTTTCTACACAATTTGATCATTTTTCTAGCGACAAATGTCACGCAAGTACCCTTGAAGTTAGGGCTATATGCAGTGACTTTTGATCTTGAATATGTTCGTTTTCTCCGTATGTTTCATTGTACTCTCTCTAGCTCATCTTTATTTAATATATTTAAAAAATATATTTACTCATGGCGTAATGTCAGGAATTGCTACTAGCGAGATATTATATTTTAATCTTTTTTTAAATTAGAATAGTTCTGATCATGAATATGTTTATAATGTTTGATATGAAAATAAAAGGTTCTTTCTCGAAAATAATATTGTACTAAAAATTAAATTTATTCCAAAGGTAGCTACCCATTGACGTACCATAATATTAAGGAATTACATCGACTTGTCCTGTTGTAACAGAGAAATACATTCTACAGATGTTTTTCCGTCAGAAATTTTAGAAATTTCACAGGAACATTCCTTTATATCACATTTATACGTAACACTTTTTGTTGACAAACTCTGTGTTAAGAATAAAGGTAAGATCCATCGAAATAAACGTCTTTTATGATGTCGCTTTCATTGAAAATTTGGTGATTGGCATTTTCTTTTTATTGGAAGAAGAAATTGTTGACGTTAAAGTGAAAATAACGTCTGATGAACACGAAGTAAATTTAAACAATTAATCAGTACTTGTTCCCGAAAAATAATTTAAGATTTTCATCCATGTATTCTAAAGTGTCTAGCAAACATTATCGTTTTCATCAACTTGCTTGTCCATTATTTACCTCGTTTAAGAAATTGTTCATACGTAGAGCACGCTCTTGGGTATCGAATCAACTTAGATATATATACTCCGTATGCAGGTAATGAAGGTATATTGCTGCATAAGTAAGGGAAGTTGACGATAGAAAAGTTAAAGTCATCACGTTTATCATATAGCTTGGTTGTTAGATTACCATTAATGTCTTTTTCAAGTAAAATATCCAAGTATGAAGCAGAGGTGTAGGACTCTGTGGTATCTTTTATCTCAAGCTCACCAGGATATATCGTATCGACGTAGGAATGGAAATTATCATTATTAATTGACAATACGTCGTCGATATATCTAAATGTTAAGTTGAAGGACACAGCAAGTGTTTTCTTCTTTTCACACATAAGATTTTGCATAAATTCTGCTTCATATGAATATAAAAATAAGTCTGCTAATAACGGAGCGCAATTTGTACCCATGGGAATTCCAATAGATTTTTGGAATACCTGATCTCCAAAAACCACATAGATATTGTCAATCAGAAACTCAAGCATCTTCTTGATGTCAACTTCAGAGTACTTATGTGTGCAATCAGAATCTGTTTTAACAAAATAATTTTTCAAATGACCAATGACGAGGTAAGTAAATTTACAAGTTCCATTTTTGTTGAAGAAGCAGCTGTCAATGATATCAAAACGCCTGTATTTTAATTTGTCATAGGGAATTGTTGTGTATAAAGTTGAAAAGTCGTAAGTTTTTAAGCTGTTGATTTTTGCAAAGTCTTGTGATTTCAAATTGTCCAAAAGTTCTTTAGAATTTTTAAGTATCCACATCTGATTTACACCACTTCTTGAATATATAGTTGCACAGTACTCTTGAAGTTTTTCCTTCACTACTGTCAATATTTTAGTGAGAAGTAACGAAAGAGGCTTGGTTGAACATTTACTAGAACCTGCAATGTATCTTTGTTTGTAAGGATTCTTATGAAGTTTCAGAATCCAATATATATAAGGTAGTTCAAATTCATTTTGGCTCTGTGGAAACATTAATCAAACGAAGCAATCTCCAACTGGCTAGTAAGTCTCAAACTATTACTTTCTTGTAATTCATACACCAGTCGTTGCTTTAAAATGAAACTAAATAGACACATTTCACAATTTAAATAAACTTTTAGAGGTAACTCCATCAGGAAGAAGTAGAAGACCAAATTTCAAGAGATTGAATAAAGAAAAGCAGTCAAATGAAAAAGATGAAAGAGAGAAAGAGCATGGTAAAGTGGACAGTGTGAATGAGACTGAGAGAGAACAGAGGGGAGAGGAAAGTGGGAGAAGACAGGAGAAAGGGCCTGTAGGGGACATTGTGACTGAGACAGAGAGAGAGAACAGAAGGGAGAGGAACAAGAGAATGACTGTTATGAGTAAGAAAGTGACTGTGAATCAGATGAAGATTGTGAACAAGAATTTAATGAAAATGTTAAAAAGATAACTGAGTATAAAATAGAGTATGAATATGAATAAAAATTTGTCTAAATAAACACGTGTCAATATTTGTGAACCATTCCAATTCTCATAGGTCTATCCCATATCAAATTAAGGTAGCCCTGTGGGCTATTTCATTCTCTCTGTTAATTTCGCACACTGAATATAAAGTGATTATTGGAGATTATTGGAAATAATCGTGTATATGTGTGGCGGAGACCCTGAGAGCAGTGGATGCCGCAATGCATTAGTCAGTCCCGGTCGTGGCGCAAGGGTTAGTCTAATAATTTGGGGTGTATCTGCTGGGATGGACCAGGTACTCTGACAGTTGTCAATGGCAGTGGGCCAATTTCATTTGTCACTGATCGGCAGTTGTTGCCCAGCATTTCCACAGAATGACTTCATATGACCGCCAGTAAAACGGCTAAGATGCAAATGAAGTAAACCGGCAAAAACATTTTTAAAAAATGAATAATTACGCGAAATGATAATCAATTAATTAAGCTTTTTCACTCTTTACATTATGTCTTAGTAGAATAATTTGAAATTCAATCCATGGACCTAATTAAAAATTTTATTTTTCAGAAAATAAAAACATATTTTAAATATATGAATCGAGATTTGCTCAAAATATGCAAACAAATAAAGAACTTGTCGATTTGGTAAAAAGAATCTGCATTTTCACAATTGTTTTCTCTCCCGCCACGTTCTAAAACCGTCGATTTCCTCGCCGGTCATTTCAGACCGGCGCATTCGGCGTACGCCGGCGAACCTTCCCCGGTCAAATGAAGTAACAGGCCATTACAAAGCTTTTCAATTCATCTTTATTTCCGGCGTACGCCGGTATGACAAATGAAATCTTACCAAAAACAATTCTGAAAAGTACAGGGAAATAATTGATAATGTACTGTGGCCAGTTGTTGCCCAGCATTTCCACAGAATGACTTTATTTTTCAAGGCGACAATGCGCCAGTTCATCGCGCAAGGATTGTGGTAAATTACAAAATTGAAAATAATATTCGAGCAATGTTGTGGCTTTCCCAATCACCGGATGCTAACATAATTGAAAACTGTTCGTTTTTGTTGAATAATCAGCTTAGAAAATGTGCAAACAGAATTACCAACTCAGAAATTCGGAGAGTATCGACTACAATCCCCATTCATTATATACGGAACCTTTACAGATCACTTTCACAACGAATGATCACGATTATTAGATCAAGGGGGTATGCCACAAAATTTTAGGTAAGTTTCATTTATACCAATCTGTGTATAATGTGGAAATCGTTTTTTTTTTTATTATTATTTACCGGATCAGTATGTTGCTAATAATGCGACGACGCCATTTTGTTTATAATAATATGATCCGCCGCAGTATCTTAACTCGAGTACTGTCCTGCAACTGAGTAAATTAATCTATACCAAAACATTACAATTTGCTTTTCATTCATTCATCTTTATTTCCCTCTTTCGCAGATTTTATGATCATACAAATTAAATCTTTCAATACATAAAGAACATTAAAGAAAATACTTATAGCATACATGTAATTGAAAGGAGAAATATTTTTTTTTTAAATACAGAGAAAAGGATGTGGATGTAACATCATATGCACCGAGATTTTGGTTTACACACTCTAATGAATTCAATAAATCATAAATAAAAACACAATATATAAATAGACACTATACTCCCTTGTCGTATGTATAAAAGTCTATTTTTTAAGCTTCCTTTTGAGAATTTTTAAATTAAATTAAATATTAAAGTTATCCTTCATGGCTGAAGATTTGAGTACCTTAAGGCAGATCCTTTTCACAGATAAATTCAAACGCCGCCTCACAGGCTGAATCATCCCACTTTCCCCCCACCCACATACTGGCACAGCTCTGTGTCCCGCCTGACGGTTGATAGAGATCCCAATTGGTAAAGATAAAAGAATCTGCAGAATGATTCCAATAGTACACACCGTCGGTAGTATCAATCCGCCCGCCCATCCACACAGAACAGTGCCATTTCTTCTCACACAGCTCTGCAATCACAAAAGATTAATTCAGGCTAAGTGAATAATTCTAAATGAAAGTGAAAAAATCTAAAAGTTTAGTTTGGATGTTAAGGTCAAATCCCATTGTAGGACTCCTTCGGATATAAACTTTTCAGTAGTTGATCCCTTACTATTCAATGGCTGTCAGTGCCTGGTAAAGGACCAAAATTGTATCTTTTCATCGTCAAGTGGTGGCGTCTCTCTGTGAGTGAAAAATTCTCATGGAAGGATATTAAACAACAAAATCATTTGAGATCATGAATTTAACTTTTGAAGATTCATGAGATTATGAACTAAGACGCTTCACGCTGGCATATTTCTTGAAGCGCGTTAACACTTCATGATAAATATGCCGGTGTGACGCGTTGTAGTTCACGTACCTTATATATTTTCAAAAATTACGTGTATTTCATGTACTAACATTATTTTCTGATGATTTGTATCACACTACGCCATTCAACTGTCATTTTTTAAGCAAAATAGTATGCACTATAGTTTGGACGTTAAGTACGGTATTATGACGTAACAATGGAGATATTCATGCTCATCCATGGTAGTTAATGAAAAAATGAAAAGTCTCCTAAAATGCAAAGAATCTTTAGGAGAATATTTGGAAAATGTAAATAGAACAATTCTCAGTTAACCTCGGTCTGCCGGTTAGGCGTGGCATTCTCGACGTTACATATTCACACATCTTTCATGCGCTGTTGAAATTTACATGGGATAGAATTCGGTCGAATTTCAAAGAGTGTAGCAAATGGCCAATAACAATGTCTCGTATGGCAAAGAGATTGGGCTTAAATCGTCTCATCGTTGGCAACAACAATTGAAAGTTCAAGATGTTATGAATTTCTTAACCAATGGGAATCTATTTGCAATTTCATAGACGCTAATTAGATGACACACACAATGTCACCCCTTTTTCTTTCTTTCCTTTTTTGGGCTCCTTCTTCATATACAATGTTATACATGTATGATAAAAAGGGTGTAACAACTGTAGAAAAAAATCTGTCTACAACTAAGAAGACAATGTTTCTGTTTAATAGATCATTAAAAACTTGTTGTAGGGCTCACTTACAACGTAAATTTATACAAATGTCCATTGTTAATAAAAGAAATGACACGCCTTACTGCAAGTCCAAGGTTAGATGACAATTGAACTATAACAATATATTTACATTTCCAAATAATTTTCCTAAAGATTCATTTCAGAAAAAAGTAAGCAGCGCCTCATTTTCCGACTATTTTCCATTTGAATTTTATGCTGATGTTGTTTATAAAAATCACTTTCGGGATTTTTTTTAATGGTGTAATAAGGAGCAGAGGGATAATTCACTTTATATCTTTCACATCCATTCTCAAGACATTCTTAAGAATAACGAAGTTAGATAGCTTACCATGAATAAGTAGTTAATTATAATCACAAACTGATATACAAAACATCTCAGGAAAATTTCCATTTCATTCAGACCCTCAAATAAAGCTAGAAAAATCCGTTCTTTCATTCATTTTCACCGGCTCGAATTTGCACTGCCATGTATTAAGAACCATGCCATCCACCGAATCGCATTGTAAAGTAGCAAATCTATGAAACTTTAATTGATAATTGAATTTATGAAGTATGTTGACACATACCAGCAGGTTTGATGAATTTTTTTTCCACCCATAAATTCTCGTCAGCAGATTCTACTTCCAGAAGGTACCCATTGTGTGTTTGGTATTCCAACTGAAATTAAAAGTATATAAAGGGTTTTAAAGAGTCTTGAATCAACTTTGTAGAGAGAACTTGTTATTGAAAAACTAAACCAGAAAGTTAACAAAAATTATACAAAGTACTTCATGTCTGTTTATTGGTTTTTGTAATATAGTCTGGGAAAATAAAAAGGGGGTGTTATTATTAGTTTTCTTTCGCACTTTATACTACATATACATGTACTTACCTGTGCATCACTCCATTTCTTTTTAGTTGTAAAGAGACGGTAGCAATGACCATGAAATTCTTTCCATCCAAGCCAGCAATCTATATTAATATAAGAGATGTTTGTGAAACGCATAAGCCCCCCCCCCCCTCCCTTCTGGATCTAGTGCATAACTCTGTCAAACACTGCTAGATTTTACCCAAACAGAACTTTACCTAGATATTCTTATGATAAATCTGTATACCAAAGGCGAAGTTAAAAACGGAAACTTCAAATAATTGGAACTTATTTTACTCGTTGAACAATTGTGGTTGTGACACGATAGCGGTGTTTTTCTTTGAAGTTTACTGTTCTGTATTAGCAATACAGAACGGGACTGTGGTGGGCGGAGCTACTTTTCGTTCTGTATTAGCCCTGTATATATACAGTATTGTATTTGCCAACTATTCTGTATCTAAAATACAGCAGGGTCTAAAAATAAATCTGATTCAATTTAGCAAAAGCACGTACAAATAGTAAATGCTTATGTTTTCCTATTATAATTTTGAAGAAATATTGAATACCCAGTATTTTCCTGACAATGTAAAATGTCAAAATTTCTCGGCAATCACTTTTTAAAAACTTATTCCACACAGAATCTACACGTAATTTCGATCCAAAGTAAAAGGAAAATGCGCAATAACGAAAAACATCCTCAGTACGTAATTTCGATCCAAACGAAACGGAAAATTCGCAATAACGGAAAACATCCACTCTCCTCGTGCAAAATCATTCAAGTCCATTTTTTCCGCGTTTTTATTTTTTAAAATTCTTCTCGCTGACGACAGCCACACATCTCTTTCATTTCGTTTTCAATGTCGCAATCCAATTTGAAAATAAAATCCGTGACATCAAAGTCCATCGAAGAATTTTCTGTAAATCCTGTTTTTGTTAATCTAGTTAAACCGGGATTTTAAGACCCCTGAAATATATTATGATAAATCTCCATCTACAATAACAACAATGACGGTTAAATCCTCCAATTTATCCATTAAGACTGACTATCACTCGATTACGTCTACCCCGTTAAATTGTCAAAACTAATCTGACCGAATTTTACGTTTTCCGTGGAAATATATATACTGCGGATGCGTACTCCCCGTCGGGGCCTCATCTACAGAACTCTGGCGGAAGTTTGGATGCTGCAAAGTTATAAAGTTGGCGGAGCTATTTTTGATTGATCGTGTCACAAATCATTTAGAGAACTCGACAGGTTCTGCATCGTAGATACAAATTTGGGGGTGGAGACTCGTGCTGCGCACTCGTATCCAACCCCAAATTTGTATCTACGATACAGAACCCGTCTCGTTCTCTAAGTAATACTTGTAAAATTGTGCTGCTTTTTATGACTTCAAATTTGCCGCTCAATAGTACATCCCTATTAACGGGAGTGATCGGACACAAGGGAGGTACAAAGACCTAGTAGCCCTGATGTTTGTTTACATGAGCTAAGATCGAGCTACTGTTTGAAGGTAAAGGTACATTTATTAAATCTGGAATTTTCCATGAATCCCGAGGACTTGAAATGAGGGGATTGCATGGATACAGATGATTTAGCTGGGTGATTCCACAAATTTGAGACAAATTGTGTCACTCATGAAAAACACTCTAATATTCCTGTTAAATATAACAAAATTTCCCTGATTTTGTTCTAAATATTAAATAAAAAGATATTCTTTTTTGTATTGATGTGCAAAAATGTTAAAGTTTGATTTTAATAATGAAAAATAATGTCACTGTATCATGTATCAATGACATATATCAGTGTCCCTATGATAGACTTTCCACTTTCTGTGGGTTCTTTTGACGCATCTAGTTTTTGTTTTTCAGTTTTATTTGTCTTATTTACTCTTATTCATTTCTCCTGAGTATTTTTCTTTTTTTATTCAGTAGGTTTTTTGATCATACTACTAAAATTTTGTTGTATATTTTTGTGTCACTTAATATTTCGTCATGACCGAAACGATTGTGCAATCTGCTATTTAAAATAGAGTTACTGCCCTTTGAATTATTACTCTCCATAAAAGAAGGCTTATAAACTACTAAAAGTTTTGATGGCAGGAAAGGAACAGTGTAGGTCAAAAGGTTTAGAAGAAAAATCCCATTGTAAGTATCTTTTTTTATTAGTTCCTTTATGGTTGATCATGACCGAATGTTCTAAAACACGATAATACAAATATTTCACATAGTAAACTTGTTCCAATCGGCTTTATTTAATGTTGCTGCAATGTTATGTACATCATTGCACCATCCATATAGTACGTATGGTGAGCTGATCAAGTAATAACTCAATTTATGTCATGACCAAAACTGTCATTTACCGCAACTTAATATGTTGTGGTCGTGACAATAGTTACTATTTTCAACTCAAACTTTTAATCATTTATTAATTTTGCTAAAACAACAACATATATCATTAAATATTTTAAACTATCAACATTATAATTGATTTTTTATTTAAAAAAGCATAAAACAATTGATTTTTTTAGTGTTTCGTAAAGAGTTGGACTTGAAAGACAAAAATCATGCATAATTAGACCGTTTAATTTATTTGATGTTACATTGTTTTTTATTTTTATTTTTATTGGTGTTTTGGTGTTTTTATTTTAGAATTATTCATTGACATTTTTATATGTATAATAAAGCAATGTCGTGACCAAAAATTTGATGTCATGACCGAAAATTTTAGTCATGACCACAGCACCAGTCTTTCGTGTACATAAAATTACATGCTATTAATTATTAGTAAAAAATAAGCCTTAGTGATATAATTTACTTCATTTTATGCCTGTTACTTCCTAAAACGTATTAATATTTGTTTTTTACAACAACAAAAATTGATTTTGTATTTACACAAATAGCATATTTTTACATCTGGCGATTTATTTGGCCCTCCACAGAATAGAAACGTATTCCAAAATTCTACAACTTCTATTATATTACAGAGTATTAATTTTCTTTTCATTGGTTATAAAAATATATATTTTCAATATATAGAAAAATAGAAACTGCATGTTTTTATATCGTTGCGGTCATGACCAAAGCATAAAAAAATGATTTTACTTCTTAAATTTAATAAAATCTGTTTACTCTGACTCGTGACTATCGTTGAAATTAAATAGCATATGTATTACAAAGCTCATTGAACCATGTTAGACAGAGAAAGAAGAAAGAGCAATATTAACTTCTTCACTTATGAAAATTGTCTCAAATTTGTGGAATCACCCAGCTGGTTATCAAGGGAGTGTGTCCCTATACCAAACCAAATTATACAGAATCATTTGCGTTCCTTTTTGGAAATCAACCAATGAGAGACTAGGATACAAACAAAATTAAATTATTAGTAAATAAAGCAATCCATCGTTTTAGACTAAAAATTAAATCTCGAAACATAGCTTAGAAATGAGTAAACCATGCATCATTTCATGAGTTAACGTGCCATATGATGCTTTTTATGTAATAAATATAAATGGATGTTGTTGACTGCAAATTTATCGAGGAGGAAGGGAAAACTTTTCTTAATTTTTCTCCAATATGTATATATCCAAGGGGTTATTGAAAATTTGGTGGACTAGCGCCGTTAATCAATGCTACTGCGTATTACGAAATACAGCAAAGAGTTTTTACACTATGAATTAATTGTCAATGTTTTCGTAAGCAATGGAATGACCACGTGGCGCAACCTCAAAATACGATGTCGTATATCTACAGTGAATCTAATGAAGAAAAATGAAAATTTGTCATCCAATTTTCACACATGCGGTTTGACACAATTGACGAATTTACCTTTTTTTGTCAATTTTCTGAGATCTTAATCTTAGCAATTTTATTTCAAATTCTCTTGAGAGTGTATGAAACCTGAAAGGGTTGATTTTTTCTCAAAATTCATAATCATGAAGTGAACTTTTGAAAAACTCCGTTAAACTGAGACGTTGAGAATGACAAAATGTGTTGGTAATACGGATTCAATAGTAAGAAAACTTTGTTAAACAGCAAAAATTTTGCGTTATAACGCGAAAAATTTTATATTTTTATCCTACGAAAATGACCCCAAATCGGTTTTCGTACATATTAAATCAAAAAGATAAGAAATTAGAAACATTAAAACCTTACCGACCTTTATATTCCAGGTATATTAATCCTACGTCAATGGAATTGAAGGTTCGGTTATGAGCAGTTAATTTAAATCGAAGTAGTCTGCAATGTCTTTCGCTAGCGTGAAAAAGAACAGATGCACATTTGGGAAAAAGTTCTAAACATTTCACAACGCAGTTTATTTTAGAGATGTTCAAATTTTTAATGGCATCCTCTATGTGGTATCCTGGGCCTGAAGAATTGTTTAGACCTGTTTTAATTTCCATGACAATTTCCTCGATTCCACAGCCGAAAACAAGGTATATTGTAATTGTAATCAGTATTACAAAGTTTAAGTATTTTTGACGCATACTTCTATGATGTAAATTAACTACGTGTAGAGAGGGAAAAATCATTTGTGAATAATAAAATACTCAACCTCAATTTCTCTTTAAAACTTAAAAACACATTATACAAATATGCACTTGCATATGGAATTGCACAATGCAATTTTAAAATATGGATTTCCATCAGAGATAGAATAAAAACAAAATCTAAATGATGTTATAGTATAGATCGGTCCATTATAAACCACTTTATTTTGTATAAAATGCCTACTTATTAAGAAGATTAGTAAAGGGATTTTTATAGGTTGATATTGTCGTTTTAATTGCAGTTGAAGACTCTATCAATTTATTATATATTTTGAAACAAGAAAGCGGAAGTGATCGATACCGGAAATCCATTCCTGAAGGAAGGATAGAAGGCTACTATACATTTAGAAGATGAACTGACACTCTACAATTCATGAATCCCTCGTCAATATGCACATAATTCTTGAAATTTGAAGCCGTATTCATCAAAACATCGATTTTTAGTGGATTTATCACG